AGTGACAATTTACTAATAATATATACCTGAAACTAATAAAACCCTAACCCTGACCCCATGTGATGTCGGTTAAATGAACTTTCGGTGAAATGACTGTCGGTGAAGTGAGCGGCACCGAGAAAAATCAGCGCATAAAATTTTGGCCTGCATTATGCTAGTGCAGGCCGTCTTGTTCGGTTATTAAATCACCATTTGTCAGTTTCGTCACCATTCGCCAGTTTTGTCACCTTTCGCCAGTTTCGCCATTTTAAAATTTTTTTGACGAAAGTCGTAACTAGGTTTCGCCTTTCGCCAATGGCGAAACCTCTAGATTTCGCCTAGCAACTATAGTCAAAATCAATTTTCTAAATTTTGATCTGATTTTTTATTTCAAGCTATTAATTAATTAAAGTTGTTCCGAATTAATCTTTGTTCATACCAACATATAAGCGGTAAGTAGGATACCTTCAGGATTTCAAAATCAATCATTGTTCATAACTGACATAACCGACCTGTAACTGGTAATAAGTTTTAAATTTTCGAATTTTAGAGAAGGTATATTACTTTCCATTTATAAGATATTATGAACAAAAATATTCCTAGCAACTTTAATTTATAACTTTGAAATAAAAAATGAAATAGAAAATAAGGTTAAAATTTAGAAATTATGACGTTTATGACCGAATTACGGTATTACGGCAGCCAGCAATTATACGTTATACATTAAAAGTTACTTATAAAAGTTAAAGCATTTATAGCTAGATTAGGGTTAAAACAACTTGACAAAATTTCACAAAGAACATTTTTATTTAATAAACTCTGTAAAAAATATCGATAACAGAACAGACCACTTTATTTATAACAACCCATATCATATGGTTTCTTATTAAAATTTTAAGTTATTCTTGTTTTTTGTAAAAAACAGAAAAGTTGTTTTGCTTACTTAACTATCCAGATATATTTTTTTCTTATACTCATGGGGACTAAGAAAGATAAATATGTCACCCTGGAAATGTATTTTAAAGTTTATCGACTCAATCTTATATGATATACAGTAATACGATAATTTAATTATTATTCAAAAATTCATTAATGATATCAACAGATTCAGGTGCCGTTATATAAATACTAAATTTTTTAAGAATAATTTTTAATAAAGTTTTTTTTTTTTTTTTTTTAATAAAAAATTTTTATTGTTATATTTACCTATGTCCAACATCAGGAATTCTATGAAATTTTGTTTTAGGAATTTCGCGATCAAGTAATTCACCATCTTGAATTGGAATTACTTCATCAGCTTCACCATGAATTATCAAAGTTGGAACTTTAATATTTTGTATTCTTGAGACAACATTATGCTGTTTAATCGCCTCCCATTGACGTTCTACAAATATATAAAATTAGATAAAGCTCTAATATTGATAAGTATTAAAAAATAAAATATATATGTATACGTACTAAAAATTTCAAAGGGTCTTTTAGTGTTTGTGTTAACAAAGATCTCTGCAATTTTATCAAGTTTATCAGGATGTTCAAGTAGATATTTAACCAAATACTTTTCATCAGAATTAAGAAGTTCATCTTTTTGTTCTTGAATACTCTTAGGAAGATTAATTTCTGGTAATTTACAAAGTTGTTCGTTTTTGTAATACGCTTTTGTATTTGTTCTACCGGTAATTCCAGCAGTACTTTAATAAAAAAGGTAAATATTAAGTATGGATTTTACTATAAATTTAATCAAATAATCTAAATACCTAGCACTAATAATTAATTTCTCTAACATCAAATCTGATGGAATGTTCAAGGCAACACAAAGAGCGATCATACCTATAAAATTTTTTTATGTAAAAAGTAAAATCATTTAAAGAATTTTAAACATTTAAAATTTACCACCCATAGATCCTCCAAACAAATTAAATCTTTTAATCCCAAGATGTTTAACTAATTCAATTGTATCTTGAGCCATTAGTTCGATCGTGATAGGGGCATCATAGGAAGCAACAGTTGATTCTCCAATTCCACGATTATCAAATATTATTACTAAAAAAAAAAAAAAAGATTTTAATTTAATTTGAATATTTTATACTTCTTATCATCATAATAGGTCTAATTTACGTATTATTAATGAAAGGATTATGATCAAGTGGTACATTTCAAACGAACCTTGTTGGTTTTTTGCCAATTCTAATGATTAAAATTAATTCAAAATTGATCAAAAATGTAATAATATATATAACAATAATAATAACCTACGTAGAAATTTCACCTTCTAGGTAAGGTACCTCTAGGTGCGGGATTATTCTGCATAGTGACTGTTGGCACTTCTTCGAAGATAGCGATGAGTTTAATTTTTATTTTTTACTTGTGAAAGGTTGCATTCTTAAAAAGTACTTTAAACTGTATAAATACAATTGTAAGTGATTTACCAATCAGAAGAAAGTTATCCTATATTATACGTTTTCAATCAATGGAGATCAATCTTAGTGAAAAACAACAAAAAATAATCTTTCACTGATCTTTCGATTCACTGATTTAACTATAATTGAGGTGCTTGAGAACACCCTAAGTTATATTAAAAGATTTAGTGAATATGAAAAATGGAAAGTAATATAAAAGAACGTTTACCATCTAGCACAATTGAACTTAAGTTCTAAAGAAAACTCTTAATTTTTTTAAAAGGAGTAAGTTAAATAATTATTACTGTGCAATTTTTATTAAACAAATTAAACTTATATAAATTCTAATTACAGTTGACCCTCCCAAATTTTATCAGTTTTGAGATGTTTATCAGTTTTAAAAAGAATTTATATATTAAATTCAAAATTTTTTGACAGGTTATCAGTTTTGGGAGGTTCATCTTGAGATACTAAATAAGGGTTAACTTAAAACACAGAAACGAATAAATATTTGTTAAAGTTTTTAAAAGTAAACTTATTAGACCTTAGATTAGCATGTAAAAGTATAAGGATGATTTATTAATCGTTGGAATTAAATTATCGTTACACTGTAAATGCTTATTCATAATTACCTATCTACCTTTATAATTCCCCTTAAATATTTCATTTAGTAAGTATAAAGATGATTTATAATCAGTATCAGCAAATCGTGAACATAAATACTTTCTCGAATATCGCATTAATTTAGTTTGATTATAAAGACGATTTATTATTAATCAATGTGTTAAATTTTAGCAAATTATAATTACAAATAACTTACCATTACCGGCTCCTCAAATTGATGATTTATTAATCAGTTGAATTAGAATTATGAGCATAAATAGCTTATTTACCACCACTAATACCCTTCAAACCATTTTATTCTGCGAATGAATAAGAGATATTTCTAATTGGTGAAATTAAATCAGCAATCGTGAACGTATATAAATTTCTACCATTCACTTATATTTTTTAGATCATTTCAATTGCATTGATTTAGTTGGTGAACATAAGTATGATGTATTATTCAGTGAAATTAATTACCTAATTCTCTTCAAATCATTTCATCTACTAAGTGAGAATTTAATTAATTTGACTGAATTAAAACAGCAATCATCCTTCGAGTCAATTTATTTAACTCATGAGTATACGTGTAAAGACAATTCGATTAACTTCATTATCTCTTCGTATGTAGATTTCACGTGTTTACTATGTTTTTGCAGGCAAATTTGCCTGCGTAACGTATTAAGAGATAAAAAAAAAAAAAATACAATGCGATTTAAGAAAAAACATTACACACCTGTTAAAAAAATGTCACCGGGTGATCGACGTGTTATCACCCAGTAACCCCCCGATTGACCCGGGTCAATATTTAATTCGCTATACAAATTTTACTCACGTGCATCATAAAAGGTCAATCTCATCTCCCACCCGAATTAGATGCAATAATTTTTCCTTGGGAGAAGAAACAAAAAAAAAAAAAAAAATAAATACGTATGTCTGAAAATCAC